CTGAAAAACAAATTTTCGTTGAAAAAATACGACGGCAAGGAGTTAACACGAAGCGATACGATTGCACACGATGCAAGCCGTGCAGCCCTTCCATTGCGACTGATGAAAATAATCCAACATTATCGACAAAAGAGGACCTCTGGACCTACTCTATTATAATCACGAACCGATGTCTAAATAAAATGGAGCATTATGGAAAATGCTCGGTTCAAATATCGCTTCTTTGATAATAGAGTATTTTCCAGGAAATAAAGCTGCATTATCGGATAGTGCTCTGTTCAAAAATCCACCCAAAATTAAGCCAAACCGCATTTTCTGACTCATTCCTAGGCCTATGAGATTAGATTCGAAAGGACAGAGGAGGTCTCTTCATTCCCTGGAGCAAGGGAATCGGAGGGAATCCTCTTTCCTGCTGCCTCAGCGTGTCGTCAGAGTCTAGACGGTGAAAGAATATCTCGCGTTCGCGTCTTTCACCGCAGTGTGAGCACTGAGTTAGGTGAAAGACTTGGATATCGTAAGACCAGCGTTTGGACCCGAAATTTCCCGATAAGCTATTGGAACGGACGGGGGACCGGGAATAGCTCTTTGCAAAATGCAAACCACTCGGCTGTTATTGGACCGCGCCAGTGCGGGGTAATGGAACAGGTACAGCAGGATCACCCGAGCAGTCCCACAGTACAATGAAGCTTGTTCCACTACGACCCCTCTATCATTCGCGGTCCCCTTCCATACCTTTAGCCTGTTTTCCAGGTCAGCGGAGTGGGGCAAAGGAGTGAAAAGAGGAAATAAGTGCAACCGTAGCCTGCTGATAGCGATGTACAATATCCCTGCCGTGCTCGGATGTGACTTTGAACAGGAATTTGAAGGGCAGCAGGAAGGAGTTCATATCCATCAGCACACGTTTATGCGTGTCATCCCTGCGTGCATATGCATGCAATATCTTCAAGTCAAGTTAAGCACAGCCAAGCCAGAAGCGGGCTAGAGTCGCTCGCTCGGGGGTGAATAGGAGCGAGCGGAAGGGATCCTTATACCACGAAAGGATCATGAGGCCACTCTAAAGCATTATAAGGAGGATTCCATAGCTCGGGGGAGGGGAATCCGGAATCTTGTCCTTGAAATTTCAGTGGCATAGGCGGATTCGGTCGAGCGTTCGTAACAGTAGGACGTGTTTTCTTTAGCTCCGTGGTCCGGCCCTGAGACATCAGCAATGCGTTTAGCCAGGCGATATCATTTCTTGCAAGTCAGGGTACGATTGAGAGAGGCCGGACGATTTATGGGTAAACCTAGGTTATTAGATGTTCGACGATTATGATATTTTCCTACAATAATAGATTCCCTAAAACCTGTGTTTCCCTGGCACTTATGATTTCTGGTTCTTGGAATAAAAAAAGTGGTCCATGGTCGGTTATCATTGACTCCAGTCGACCGAGATTGGTCGATTATTTTAGCCCCGAGTCGATTGTGATTGGTCGGTTGTCATTGTTCGGAGTGGATAGTGATTGGTCGGTTGTTACCGCCCAAGCCGATCGTGATTGGTCAGTTGACATTGACTCCAGTCGATCGTGATTGGTCAGTTATCATAGCCCGAGTCGATTGCGATCGGTTGGTGGTCATTTTGGTGGTGGTGATGACAACCTTCTCGTCGTCTCCACTGTTACGTTCTCGTCACAGCTAATGTCATCAACCCTGGGATCGAACAATACAGGGCCGTAGTAATTCTATGTGGCACCTCTGAGCAGTGTGTCATGAGCGTCCCAGGGCTCGGAAAAAAAGCCGAAAAGAAGAAAGACCTCCGGAATTGACAAAAGCGGAAAAAAGCCACCAGAGGTGAAAATGCAAAATAAAACCACCTGGGTGGCTACTTCATAATTATTCATTTATATATTTATTATGCATATCATATGATTAAAGACATTTATTTTGGGACGTTGAGAGACATTCATGCATGGATTTTGATTATTATTACCCATGGTTTTATTACTATAAATATTTATGATTGGATGAGCGCCAATTCTTCAAGCATTATATTACTGACTAGTCGAAGAGCCCACAGCCCGAAATATGTGGAATGAGAACATTTCCTGCACGACTTTCTGCTCCTCCATTTTCGTCAGTCTCGCTCTTCCTGGAAGCAGCCTCCGCTGCAGCGTTTCATGCTCGCATGTCCACTGACTGCGGCGCCAAAACTTCTCTCTTTTTTCCTACGTTCAGAAGATCCCTCCACAGAATATTTGAAACTTCCATACCTTTTCTGGGCATTTTGAGAGCGCCAATGTTTAAAAAATGTTAGTGTAGCACCAACTCAAAGCTGGGAACATACTTGAAACACTCTCTTAAACTGGCGATGGAACTGGTAACGCGACAAATCATGACACATGGTCATTGCCGGCATAGTAACAACTTCCGTGGCCGATAATGCCTTGCTCTCTCGTTGTTGGTTTTGGGGACTTCGCACACGAAGGCATTCAGTATGATGCTATTCTTATGACCGAAATTAGGCCTCATCATGGGAAAATGGTAGATCTTTCAGAGCTCTCGACCCGGTAGTTATCGCCACCAGGTTTCGAATGATACCTGCAGTTTAAAACCGAGGCACACAAAAAACGAATTTGGAATTCTTAGTAATGAGATGGAGAGCCGGGGGGACGGTTCCCGTCCGAAGAGACGAACCATTTCCCTTTTGTAACGATGAGGAGTGGTGAGCCCCTGGTGAGTTAGAATGCCGCATGGCATTCAAAAGGGACACGACTTAAAAATTTCAAACAAACACACGATGAATCATAAGAGGATGCGTTTCGTATATAGGGAAACCCTAATAGCCCGTATGGAAATGTTCGGCGAGTTCCGCTTCTTAACGTTAAAGTGTCATTCTCATTTGAGAGGGCCCAGGTAGAACAGGGGAAGATTGGTTCGGTAGGACCGATCTGACCGGTGCATCGGGCATGAAGGGTGATTCACAATCTATTTTCCGGTCGGGTGCGGGAGAATGCGTCATTTGAAACCGCGAGTTCTGAAAATGAAAGGACAAAGCAGGCCTTGGACCGGTCAGTTCGGCAATCAAGTTTTAGGTCGAGTGCGGGTCATGACGTGTGAGCAATTCTCCAAAAAGCGTTCGGAATTGTGCTATTCTTATTGGCTGAAAAGAGGCCTCATCACATGAAAATAGGACGGATTTTTGGACTTTTGATCCTGGAAGTATCGCCTCCCGTTATGCTCTTACGATTGACAGCTCACTCATGAAAATCCGTTCATCCGTCAAAGAGGAGTTTCCTCGGGAATGACACCCTGATACTGATTATCGTAATATGTTTATGTCTAAGGATGAGAGATGGCCGGGCATCGATTTCGCACAACCCATCTCTAATAAATAGATTTTTCCGGCGTATAGGCAAGTTTTCATAAGTTTCGGATTTCCCGATATAAATGTCTTGCACGGTTTCCCATGCCAAAGCTTCGCAACCCTATCTGCTTGCACAGAATGCCCTTCATTCTCAACCGGTTCACCCGAAAATGCGATTCTGCGCAGATCTGCGAGGATCCCTTCGTCCCCCCCCCCCTCCTCCTTCGGGCAAATACGTCACCAGAGACTTGGAGTTCTCTAATTTAGAGGCCTAAGCGGGATGCGGACCGGCCTTATTTGCACAACACGATCCGCGGCTCGGAGCAGCAAAGTTCGGTCGACGATTGCGCTCCGAGTCGGTGCTGGCTACGATTCCAATCTAGCCGATCCGGGTTCAACTCGGAAAAGTGAACCCGTGCAGGCCTCTGACGCCCAGAAAGACGTGAGAACCCTAAGAAAACACGTTCACAGTGTACTTTTTACCCAATAGGTATCGACTCCAGGTCCAAAGATTTGATTGGCACCTCACTCATGAAAATTCGTTCATCTGTCTAGGATGAGTTTCCCGGAATGTCAGAATGACATGCAGGTTAACCTCTTATGCATATGGATTTTCCGTTTCCATTCGTTGAGGGTGGATTTTTGAACGGGGAACTATCCGATAATGCTGCTTTATTTACAGGAAATATCATGTGTTTTCCTCGAAATGAAGCTGCAATATCGGAAAGTTCTCAGTTCCTGAGAATAAAGCTATGAAAGATACAAAGCTGGACTGGAAGCACTTCTTTGAATCTTTGGAAATAATATTTTCCCACTTTCATTATGAAGGGAAGAAGGATTCTGTTCAGCAATGAGCAGAGTCCTCCTTCTCTTCATGAATCCATGTTCAGCTATGAACATGTCATGGGGAATGAATGAATCGAGGGAAATAGCGCATTAGTGCCTGCTGATAGCAAGTGCAATATCTCTGCCCTTGCTCGGAAGTGTCTCTGATCCGCTCTGAAAATGAATTTTCTGTCGTGGCAGGGAGAAGGTCATATCCATTCGTATACGTAGGGTAAGTGAGACAAATTCCGACCCCCTTAAGAAGTTCTTTTTATCTAAATCCGCCCATCGCCGACTTTTTCAACTCGAGGGGTTTCGGACCTATACCGCATGACAGGATAATTTACACACTACATATTCATGTTCATGGATCAGACATCAAGACCAGTCATGAAATTTGGAAGAAGAGATGAACCCGTCACATTTTCTTCCAATTCCGACCCCTCAGGTACAAATTCCGACCCCAAAATGTTACTTATTCCGACCCCTACAACCGCGTGGCCTATAGGGGACGTAATTGAATTGCTTGAACCTCACAATCGAACGCCTGATATGGCCAATCATAAAATGATCATCATGTTGCTCCACACGTGTCAAGTTTATTTTTATTCTTCTGGACAAATGAAAATAAGCAAAATACACTTGAGAAATTAAAAAAATTAAGCATTTGGCAAACGAAACACGTATTATTTCATCATTTAGGAGAACTCAAACTTTCAGGAAGGTCCTTGTCTTGAATATGCTAGACTAAGACGATTTCGCCATTGTCATTCGTTCAGTTATTCCTGTTCATTCTTCTTTCTCTTGACATGTCTAGCGTTTGAGTTTTCCTTCGTTTCTGCCATCTCCTCTCTCAAGCGCTTCCTACGCGCCATGTCTTCCTTCTTTTGGGCAGCTTTTTCCTTTTTATCATTCATTCTCCGTTGCTTCTCTTCATCTTCTTTTTGTTTCTTCGCTTCCCTGCTTTCGATCAACGTCATCCACTCGATCGAAGTCAGGCCGGAAGGTTGTCGACGAGGATGTTCTAGGGAAACAGGATCTGATTTTTTCTTTGATGGAGATGGCCACGGTAGGAAATGAGTCAACTTCACAGTTCCTGATGGTGCCTCAGATTCCTCATGAAGGGATATCTCCCCCTCCGTTGCGCATACGTCTTCATCCTCGAGGGGCACCTCTGTTGATCGAAGACCTCCATCTACGAGAGGCTGCTCAGCTGGTAGAAAGTCATCTCCCACGATGACCGTAGCAGGTGGCCCTTCAAGGAGGTGGTGATCTGCTTTGGTGAAAAAGTTCCAAAGAACCGTGACCTGTACGGAGAGCGCCGGATCATCCTCAAGAACGTCTCCTCTCTCTAGCTTCGCGACGACGCGTGGATCAATGAGTCATGAAATGATTTTGAATTCCTCACTAGTTATATTGTAATTTTCTGTTGCGTTCATGGGGACCAGCTGAAACGGATATTTATCGCAGCTTCGGGCGTCCTCGGGCAGCATTTGAATCTCGCATATTTTTTGACACAGCTGATCATGTGGAGATGTGGGTTCTCAGTAAAGGATCAAGACAGAAGAAAACCGAACCAAGCAGCCTCTGTCACCTTTTTAGAGTATTTCGTGTCTTGTGTGATGTTGAAGACCTCGGTGCCGAACCTCTGCATCAAGAAAGAATCCAGAGCACAATTCCCCCCATCCTCTGGATGAAGTCGCTCGAACTCCTTCTTCGCGATGACGACGTTGGAAACCATTTGCAGGTTCACGTCAAATCCTTCTCCCAGCGGATTTGGGTCGGACTCGATTGGGTGAACCGTGAGCCTGAAGCCATCGGCCGGCGATAGAAGGAGGACATTGTTCGGTGCGTATGTCGTGAGCACGAGCTGAAGTCCTTCCTACCAAAATGAAAGAGAGAGGTCTGAGAAGGTAGTGGTTACTCATTGGAAAGGGGGTCTTACTGATGGTTTCATGCTCTTGAAGAAGTCAGGCTCCTTCGACCCGTAGCCTTCAGAATTTAAGTCTTGAGAACCATGAACGTTCTTGCCTCCCTTGCAGTTGAAGGTGACACACGTCCCATATGCTCCTGTTCGAAGAACTGTGAGGTCACTGGAAAAGGGAGAGTGCAAAAGTGACGGGAGTCTATTATTTCTGGTGAGAATGAATTGAAATTATTGATACATGGCCACAGAGGTACAAGCTTCACAATATCTTCAAAAGCAGGCTTAGAAATTACTTTTTTGGCGAATTTTAAAGATTGGACAGTGGAAGAGTATTTACAACGGCTGAACTGCTGGGCATTTTCATCCATGAAGTGCGTCGAGGAAAACGGAAGACGTCAAAGTTTCGAATGTTAATTACGTCATACCTCAACCAACCACTCTGAAACTAATACGAGAACTACTCAAGCGGATATATCTTGAGAGCAGCATGCATACCGAATCCATTCTTTCATAAATATTCAATCATCCCTCCATAATCCTTGCGAAAAGTTAGATCATTAAATTGCGGTAGTCATGCAGTGTTATCAACTTCACCGCAAACATGGAAAATTCTACCCGCTCCATTGGAGATACTATCTACTGAACAATATATTGATTTTATTAGTGCACTGCTGTGACCTATCGACAGTGATTATTTTTGTTGCGAGTGTGATTTTGGTACGAACCCAAGCAGCAAGGGATCGTCTTCTGTACATCCCTTGGTTATCTGATGAGGCCATGCATAGATAGATTTGCCATCCGCTGAAATTTGAAGTGGATATCCTCATGGAACCCCTACTAGACATCCTTTTGATATTTTCCTGAACGATTCGTGCCATGAATTGTGAATACAGGTAATTTACCCTTGCGCTTTGAATAGAAATGTCCTGCGGTCAATAGTTTATTATCATATCTGTGTATATGTACAAAGGGATTTGGAATGCTTTTCCAATGCTATAGGACCTGTAATTATTACAAGAAGCAGATATTCATTTAGATATCTGGGAGATCCCTCCTCGAACATCCTAACTTTGGACACAGCTTCCCGTTCACGTACAAAGCTACTCATGCAACGTTTCGATGCTGTTTCTCGCACCTACCCTGGAGTCAGGTTATGAAATTAATCGTCATACCTGCATCTACTGAAATATGATTCGGGAAAAGCAGTTTGTTTGTTATTTTGTAATATTCTATGCTTGTCCTCCATGCATATAATATTGTATATTTCAGCTTACTATCCTCCTTTGTTTCGTTTTCCTATTACTCAGTTTTCTCAAATATTTTTCTTGTGAACCTTGGTTTTTTTTTTAGTGCCTATATTTCTCATAATGCGTGATGATGTTTCGCAAACAATGGAGGCAATATGGTCCGATGGGACAAACATGTTAATTATCCAAATACTCAATTCCGATGCATTTGTTGCATGTGTCTTCCTGGGATTGAATACATGAGTCATCAATTAACTTTTCTGAATCATTGTGAAAGTTCATTTTGAACTTAACGTACAGTTAAGACCTGGTTTCACTTCTTAGGACCATATTCTCCAAATTACCTTATTCTTAGTGCAATGATGATCGACGAGGTCATTCACGAAACGTCCATATCTTTACTATCTCTTTTTTAAAGTCGTCTTTGCAGAATACTCCACAGCCTATTTCTGCGAACTTACAGAGAGAGTGATTCCACATGTTTATTATTATTTGCTTCCTTGCACATGATGGTATACTTTCAGAAGAATTCATGAGACTTACTAGACGTTGCCCTCGTAGTTTCGCCCATGAGCTCTAGTGAAGAAAGTGGTCACTACCTGTCAGTGCAAGGTTCCCCATTGAAGCTGCAATGGCGTATCGACTTCTTGATGTCGACGAAATAATCTTGGGAATTGGAGTCTGTCGAGAAGCCTTCCAAGGTGAAGTAGGAGCTCGAGTTCAACAAGGCATCGAGAAGCCACGAGGAATAATAGGTCGTCGGCGCTTCAACTACTGAGAAATTCCCTATCCATTTTAAAGGACACATCGTAGTTGATGGTACCCGACAACTGCGGTGTAAGCAGATTCGTGCAGCTGAGATAAAATATGAAATTTGGAACCTGTCTGTTGAGTGACTGAGTCCGTCCCGTTATCATCGATTCCGTGGTCCCAACTAGCATCAAACGTACTATTTTCGGCCTCTTCGGAGTTCCCTAAAGAAGAGAGGAGATTGCGGCTCATTGTTTTTGCGTAAGAGGCCTTGTCATGCGACACGTTGATAGAAAATTCGGGAAAATAGAATAAACGGAATCATCACTACTTAAGCTCCTGATTCAGTACATGAGATTTGTCGACTGGGACCCCTCTCGTCAAGAGTCAATGTCAAATTATGTCTGTCTGAAGGCACACGAAAATTGTGCCTGAAAAATGTCCGTATTCTTTATAGTCTGAGAGGTTCTCTCAGAATTAGCGCAAACTTTTCCCGTAAAAAGTGATTTTAGGGAAAATGCATGGGGAAAAAATCCATGCCAGTAGCCAAAAGATTTGAAGTCTGTGCCAATGTAAGCCATAGTCATTCTGATTCGGACTGAAGGACGAATTGCCACTATAGTAGAAAAGTGGCATAAACTTTTCTGTATAAATGAGAATTATGCGACGTTTTGCATTAATAATTGAAGCATTTCTTGGAATGCAAGGAAGCGTTTGTATAACTCACGGTTTCTCTCAAGGAAGGGTTTGATACAAGTATTCTGTACTCCGTCCTCGTCCTTCATGCATGCCGTATCAAGTAAGGGAGACAGCAGATCCGTTGCTTGGCACGTATCTTCTGCGCTTGATAGTTTTTTAATCAATCTTTCCAGTTCTTGATTCAGAGCCAAGATTTCCGAGGGGTAGCTGCCGAGGTTGGGATCTTGGACGTTTTTCAAGAGGCGGCTACGAGGGCAGATCGTGACGGCTGGGAAGGGTAGAGTTTCTTCTGTCTCCATCTAATTGGTTATTTTGCAGAAATTTCGCTAACCGAATACGAAACGATTCCATGATGAATAGTGCTACTTGACTCGTTCTACCTGGGTCGTCGTTGTTGTCGGCCCGGACATGTACATCTTGGTTGTGTCAATGATTTGGCTGATCGTGTAACCCGAAACCGCGAGAAAGACGAGAAGCCAAACTATTTTTCTGAACCATGATGAGTCCGCGTAGGCCATCCGACCGAGACCCTGGTACAAAGTCATACATTCAATGCAGAATAGTTTCCACATGTCAAAAGGAACTGGGCATGGAATACCCGCTGAATAGAATGTATATCAGGAAAATTTCTCAGAGGATCCCCCCAATAGTTATTACGAGAGGTGAAGCGTTGGAAAGAACGGATGGACGCGGTCTCATTTGAATTTCAGTGTTTCCTTCGGCTGTCGCTCTCATTCTCACTAGATAGAACGGATGACGGAGGCCCCGTCCTTCATAGTCATAGACTGATTCTCTTTGGAAGTAACCTTCATCGAGTACACTAACAGCTGGAAGTGGTTTCCACAAAAAGCAGCATGCTTTCTTATGCATATAAATATATAGTATGCCTGGCAGACAATGTGTTTGAGGTGAGGCTAATAATCATGTGTGGCACTCAGATTTCATCACGTAGGAGAAATATCTTAAACGTATTAAGCAAGTGCACCATGGCGGTGAATTTTTGCTCTCGAAATTCCTCTCCAAGGTCCCATGCCACGTGTAGGATTTCGAGTAGATGTTAAACCTGAACAGGTATGGGATGTCGGAAGACGTATTTTCTAAATGGATAGGACTAAGAGGGAGGATTAGGTATTTAAAACACATACTTTTGATTGATGCGTTGCATCCTAAACTGAGAAATCTCCAAGATCGATAGAACGAGATAAATTAACTTGTATCTATAATGATACTTTTAAATTATTCCACGAAACTGCAAAAGCAATAAATATGAAAAGAGAATGTAAAACATCTCTTGGACTGATGATGCAGCTAGTCTTTTTCTCGGAAAGAAGCTGATTGCGTTGGATACAAAGGAATATGAAATTGAATACTGCTTACGTGGCCGGTGAATCTTTCCAAGAATCTGACGGTTACGCGTCGCACTCCGACTGTTTCTCCCCCTTCGTCCTCGAACTGGATCTCTGCGACTTCCCCCCGCACTACGTCGTCGATGGTCACTTGGTTTCCCATTGCGAGGGAAGTCCTTTAAATGTTATAAAGTTTTCCTAAGCATGAGCCGTAAAGGAGGCATGTGCGAAGCAAATGGATTAGATACACTGTGGCCCGCGTGCAACACTGACCCACGCCATATCCACTTGCCCGTAGTCATGTGTTGAGTCTCATCCATTAATAATCGACATGATAGGCTATACTCAGACGTCACCTATTTCCCTTTCCTGGTCGATATCAACCGCCAACGAATACGTTGCCACTTGGTTCCTCACGGTCAGGATTGCACAGTCATTCCCAATGAGCGATAGAACAAATGGAGGAAGATCGTGTGTGAACTTTGCTCAAATATGGGGGGGAGAAAATTCTGGAGCGGTAAATAAATGGTGTGTACAGGCATGTAAGCAATATTTACAGATCGAGCTAAATTACAGATATATGTTGTACTAACGAGTTTGTTTGTCCTTTAGGCAAGGAAACTTCCTATATGTGCGTCTTCTGAATTCTATTGTACAGGATATTAATTCATTCATTAATTCATTTTATAAGAGGCGAAAACGTGGAAATGTTTGTCGGGAGAGGACGGACTGATATTTTTTATGGAAATAAATAATTCTATTATTTATTGTGTGGCTAACTTCAAATCTCTTTGTAATCTGCACTGAGCAGACATTTTTGAAGAGTAGGATCTGCTCTATTGAATCGAACAGGTACTTTTCTTCTAAGTTTCAACTTCTTTTATTCTTTCTTTCATCGGATCAAAAACGAAAATGCGCCTTTTGCAAAAAACTTACCCTTAGGGATTTTACCTAAGCAATTAATATATTTACTTCAATCATTACTTGGAGAAACACTTGCCTAGCAATTTTCAGCCTAATCGGTTTGCCCTTTTCGATGGTTCAAAAATATTTTGAGGAAGCCGACGCAGCCAAAAGCTGTGCGCTAAGGTATGCACCATAACAGTGAACTAAACTCAACATCACCACACTTATTGGTGTGGCAAGTTTTACCTTTCTTTCTCTGCCGAATTCAAAAGGGACATGAAGAAATTATTTAAAAACCTCACCCCTAAAAAATGTCCCTAGGGCATACATCAGAAGATTGACATTTTTCCTGAACTCAGTGTCTCAATAGGAACGTCCATGTCAAGTTTTAACCGTCGAAGCCTCTCCTTTTGACTGAGAAAAATGTGCCAGAACATCTCCACCCGAATTGGATGCCCCCAGGGCATGTACCTGTACCTCCCAAGTCGGATTTTTTTTGGACTTAGCATCCCAATAGGTACTTACTGTACGTACCAAATTTCATATTTCCTTCACGTCTAGAACATGGCTAGAACTAGTGGCAGTCAGTCAGTCACTCAGTCACTCAGTCATAATCGTCTATATTACAAGTATATTAGATAGATCGTAGACGTTATAATATCTCATGTTTGAATCAAGGAATGAATTTGCAAAATATGCCCCATGAGTCATTTCTTCGCTGCGCTTACAACTGCAACATCTTTCAACTGAACCAAAACCGTTGGAACACATTTCAGATTCCCAGATATCCAGATTTTATTTGTTGCCCCATTGAGGGTTCTGGGATTGAGCATTGCTCAACACTTTCATCAAAGTCTGTTGAACCAAATTCCACAGAACGCCAAATAGGGTCTTCTGAGTCCATAAGGATCTCTGAAGGGAATGCCTCTCTTTGTCAATTACTTAAAATTGGTACACAAGTAGCTATTGGGATATGGAGTTTTAAAAATATCTGACTTTGGAGGTAAATGCCCCGGGGAAAATTTCATGGGGGGCTTATTTCGCAGGCGTATGCCTAACCCATGGATGAACGCTTAGCCCAGTACCATCCTCATGGACTCTGTTCTTCAAAAGAAGCGGGATGGAAAACCAGCAGCTGTTTGGCTCGCGTACTGCAAATAACAGTTCGACATTAAAGGTAGGTGCCGTGAGGGGACTGATTCGGCAGGCCCATATCTAAACCTTAAGAGGACGATCGTGATTGCGTGAGTGACTGAGTGACTGACGCTAATTCTAAACAATTTCTAGAGTGGTTACTTGATACATTATTGCCTGTTGAGAACCTGAATTCAGAAAAAAAATCCAACTTTGGAAGTACATGCCCTGAGGGCACAAATTTCATGGGGAGATATTTTCAAATGTTTTTTTTGCTTCAGTCAAATGGATAAACGTGGAAAGCTGAAACATGAAATGGACAAACTGCGACTCTGAATTCAGGAAAAACGTCAAGTTTTTGGTACATGTTCTGGGGGCATATTTTTGGGGGTGACGTTTTCAATTTTTTTCCTGCAAATGAATTGTGCAGTGATATAAATGTGAAATTTTGCACAACAATAACTGAGGTGGTGAGTTCAGAAAAAATTGACGCTTTGTGGTGCATACCCCCAGGGTGCTTTTGGCTGTGTCGGTTTTTCCAAATATATTTTTGAACCAGCAAAAAGCAAACTGATAAGGCTGAAACTTGGCATGCACGTAGTTCTCCGAGTACTGATTTCAGTAACAAAAAAAAGGTTAATTTTTAAGCAACTCCCCTGAGGGCACATTTTTGCAAAAGGCGCATTTTCCTAAAACTTTTCTCATCAAATCAAAGAGAGAACTGAAGAAATTTGAAACCTGGAGCAGAAGTACCTGTTCGATTGCTGAGTATATGTCCTACATTTCAAATATGACCCCTCAGGACAGATTATGAAGAGATTTGAAGTTAGGCACACAAGAAACAATAGGCACACAAGAAACAATGTAATTATTCCGATGAAACAATTGGATTCTTCTCTCTCGATAGAAATTCTGATGGGCACATACTTTTAATAGGTTTTTGTCACTTTGAAAATAAATTATTGAATGAATGGAATTCCTTGGAATGGAGTGCCGAAGGCGCTAGTATAGAATATAAATTATACATTCTCTTCTGGCAGGTTTCATGCTCCGCTTTTGAAGAAAGTTAATTAAAAGAAAGTTTTGTTGAAAGTTATGGAAGGCATAAAAAGAAAGAGGAACTTTCCCCTTTTTTTCTCAGTTCAATGGACAAGAAGCACGTCCTTTTTCGCCCTTCTCGAATGCTAGATCATACTGCATAAGGGGTCACACAGTATGGTCTTGCTTGCTCTTGTGAACTCTGACAACAAGTTCATCCATTGTGTTACAGAAACAATGGGCAAAATGAGTGATGGAGGGGTTTGGGGAGACCGATTTAAACAATGCAATTGGGAACAATTAACTCTCTTTTCTTGGAAGTTGGCTACTCCCAGGCTGAAGCATGAAAGCACAACATGTGATAGGTGATGATGATGCCTTTCCACTGCAAGATCACGTCTGGTAGCCTTTTCCTTTCAGAAATATTTATTGGGACAAGCGTATCAATCGACGATTTTCTGGGCGCGGCTCATTTCGGGAAATACTTATTGAATACTTGCAAATGGTTTAAGGATAGCCTTTCCACCCATTAATACGAATGCTAAAAAAGATATTAAAGACATGATGATAAATGCTTGTGACCTCAATATTACCTTCATTCGTGCCAGCCTTATCTATGCATCCCACCAAATGCATTGGATTGCGAGGAAATAGAGAATGGAAAGGTGGAGGAAGGCGAATGAAGGGAAAGACACTCTATGAGATTCATGTGCGTGTCTGTGCAAGGTGGCAATAGAGTGGCAATGAAAACTCTCTCGATAAAAAAAAACTAAATTATTCACATTTTTAAACGGAAAAGAAAAAGCTTCCTGGCAAGATGAAGGCATGGCCTATCGTGACCCACATACCAGTAAGAGGGTTGGTCCAGTTTAAAG